ATATTATCATTTGTCAAGAAGATTTTTATATTTTTTTTAACATGTAAAATGTGAAGATGAAGAACATTGATCAATCATGTGTTTTAGATGTATTTGTTAATATATTTGATCTTAGGCCAACTTTAAAATAATGTTTAATTTCCCTCTCCCGACTAAGGATGATAAAAATGGGTCGGTAGGTGGGTGACAATTTTTTTTCCTAAAAAATCTTTAACAACTTTCAAAATCTATTGCCCTCACCCGACTAAGGATGATAAAAATGGGTCGGTAGGTGGGTGACAATTTTTTTTCCTAAAAAATCTTTAACAACTTTCAAAATCTATTTTCCAGAATGCATAAAAAATAGTTGACTCCTGGAAGTTAAAAAAAAGTTTTCAGTCGGGCCGTTTTTAGCCAATCCTTCGAGAGATGGCAACCAAACATTTTTTTAAAGATGGCCTTAAATGAGATAGAGTGTCTAAACAAAAATTTGGTTAATGAGCTATTTTCAATACTATTATAAATACATTTTTATGCTCCGGGTCGACATATTATAAATATGTTTAAAACGAACGTTCATTATCAAGAACACATTTTACATGTATATGTACCAAAATGTTTATTTGTTTGATATAATTGATTCAAACTTTAAATATGCATTTTGTTGTTTTAATTGGTTGTACGCAGTTTAGTTTTCTGTATGTTCTCTATGTGTAAACAAAAATTGATATTCACTATGTGTTATTAAATTTTGGTTGTTGTTTTTTCATGGTTAATATACATTAGATATTATAGAGAGGACTTATATAGGCAGCGCCTGCTGTCCAATCCTTTTGTGGTTATTCATAATAAAATAATAAATTAAATATGTTAGATATACCACACATTAGTTATTCAACTAGATGTGAACCATTTTTCTCTTAAAAATGGAAGACTGTTTTCCAATTGAAATTAAAAAACTTTTCTGAAAAGCACTGATTTGCATAAATTAAAACTTGGATGTGAATTGACTGAATTGACAATTTCAATGTAGAGCTGATTATCCTAAGTGAATTGACCAAATGTAAACCTTCCAGAAAAATATGACTTTTATTATTATTATTATTATTATTATTATTATTATTAAGCAAGTTTGTCGTGATGCTCTTGGTCAACTAAATGAGAGGAGAAAATGCTTTCACCTTAGCAATAAACTTAAAAAGCAAATTCGATAAAATCCTTTTTAAAATTTATAATGCCACCAGCTATCTAATCAGAAAAATGGTTACTGCGAGGACCCTTAATAATGAATGTTTTATCACCTAATTCGTCAGTTTTTTCAAGAAATTAAACCAATAAAAATATGTTTAAAAATTATTTGCGTTAAATTGTCAGAAAATTTTATGATGTGACAAGGATGAAGTTAACGAACATCATAAGATCTACAAACAATACAAATCTGTGAACAGGGCAGAAAGCAAACAATGGAAATTCCAGATGTGGAATTAGGGGTGCCAGAACAAGCAAGCATCTCCTGTCAACCGGTCACACCCGCCGTGAGCCCTATGTATTGATCAGGTAGACAGAGCCCTATGTATTGATCAGGTAGACAGAGCCCTATGTATTGATCAGGTAGACAGAGCCCTATGTATTGATCAGGTAGATAGAATAATCTGTAGTCAAATTTTGTTTAAAACACAATGACCCAATAATTGGTGAAATATATCAGTTAAAATACGACCCAATGATAGGCTCTATTTGTAAACAAGGTCATTATAACAACCATAGAATTTACGAAATGTTGACATTAAACGAGGTTGTTCAAATCCCTGTAACATCAACTTATCTGTCAGTAGCCTGTCTCGGTTTTAAAAATCGATCGTACTCAGAGCATGCTCTTCAGTATTAAATAAGTTGGGAGACGTAAACACTACATGCAGGTGATAGCGGAATATTACTGCATTAATAAGAAAGTTGTCGATGGAAAAGCTGAAGTCGTCTCGTTTGTCATACAATTTAGTTTTAAGTTGGCCCTTATCGTCTATTGTCAGTTAATCATCCAAATATGAAACAGATGTGGCAGACTCTGTGGAGTCTTCTATTTAACCTACACAAAAAAAAAATCAGAACCATGGTTTGACAAATATTTATACAACCGGTATTTACGTCTTAGACTAACTTGTCCTGGAACCCATATGTACATGGCAAGTATTACAGACTACTTCTGAAACTGTTAAACTTATTTTTCAGTGTTTTTTTTTTTTCCAAATTTCTAGATTATCTGCCTTTATTAATATTCAAAATATTATGCGAATTTTTCTTAATTTTGTTTTTGAACTCTTGATCACTATAGAGGTATTGTTGGAATTTATAAGCAGACTGTTCAATCCAAGTTTTGCACACTTTTGGTTCCAGTGTTAAAGATTTCGGGGAGTTACATGTATATTGATTAAAGTTTGCAAGTATACATCACTTAATTTTTACAGTGATGATAGCTTAGAGGTCTTTCTAAAAGTGATACATAAAAAAAAAAGATTTCTCTTTAAACAAATATCATTTTCTAAGGGAGGATAAATTACGATACCGAAACTGGATTCCAAAACTACATAAAAATCCTTACAAAGGAAGATACATAACGGGTTCTAGAAAATGTTCCAACAAGACTCTCTCTTTACTCCTCACAAAAATGTAAACAGCATTTAAGGAAGTAGAAAATTCAGAATTACTGTGCAACATATTCAATAATTAGTGTTAATCAGATGTGGATACTTTTTAAAGAACTCAAAGGATCTCTTAGAAAATTTCAAATTAATTTTTTTTTTTTACCAAAATCAATAGCATCAAAACGTACTATCTCTGAACACTTTTTACAACCATTCTCCATGGTAGATTAAAGACCAGGCTTTTTGACGTCATAGACAACTGCTTTTTCAATAAAAATGGAACTCGTAAAGATACCTCACATACCTTGTTACTGGTCATCTGCAAACTTATTTGTTAAACAAAACATTCTGATTCTATACACACAAATACTCTGCAGTTGATATTAAAAAGATGCTTGAGTTTCTGATTGACAATATCTATATAGTTTTGAAGACAAATCTGTTGGAATTCCCATTGATAATTTTTGTACCCCGTTTTAGCAGACCTGTTTTTTGTATTTTATCAATTCACAATATTCAATTTCATTCCTACCTTGATTAGAAATACTTACATGTATATCCCTTTGAACTCGGAAAAAAGACATCAAAGAGTCTAAAACATCTGTTTCATATACGAGGGTTGTCAAAAAGTCGTAGACAGGGTAAACAATTTAGTTTATCTGTGCTAAATTAAATTTCTTTTATTGTCAGAGTAAAATGCAAGATTTTATGATTGTGAATTAAAAGTTTAATGATAATAACACATTGAATAAAAAAAATAATAATAATGTAAAAATGGAGAACGTGTGTTAGTGTACATCGGCGCACGAAAGCAAGCGTAATTCACGTCTTTGATAACGTCATGATCATTTTTAAGTACTGCTCCCTGTGTTTACATGTAACACGAGTCCCTTAAGCATCTCAATGATTTTTGGGCTAGCAAACCACTCTTGACTGAGGGTCTCACTGAAATTCACCACTATCCTTAATTTTTTTTTTCATATTTAATTCTCAGTCCTCGAAAGGTCGCCCTTCATTGTAGGAAGCAGAGAATACACAAAATTTTCCGTCGTCGATTGTGACCCATAACGTTCCTCTATGGAACGCCGAATTAACAGATCGTATAAGCAGGATTTTTAGCGAGGATTTAATTTTGGCATTATTAGCGAGGGTTTTGAGATCGCTCAAATTGAATATCGCTATTAATTTATCCCGCATTGGTTGTTAAAGCTATCTTGGTTGACATTATAGAATCGCTAAAATTACTTCTCGCTAAAAATATATACCTTTTTTTTTTTGATAAATCGCTTAATTTGCGTCTCGCTAAAAATTCAACTTATACGTATATTCAAATATTTGAACCTATCTTCAATCAATTGTACATATCTCCAAATGAATTAAAGATAGCTTTAATTCATTTGAAGATAGCCGGGTACAATTGATTTGAAGATAGGTACAAATGCCATGAATTAAAGATAGGTAAAATTGATTTAAAGATAGGTGAAATTGAATTGAACCTATCTTTAATTTTAAAGATACTGACAATAACAACTACTTCCAATAAAAATGCTCTGTGCAGTTCCCTCCATGTTCAAGACGCTGTAAGAGCGAGCTTTCATTATTTTCAAGAACACAAAACGAATTGAACTTAGGTATAATTGAACTGTACCTGTATCTTCAAATCCTTTGTTGATATGTTTCAATTGTACCTATCTTCAAATCAATTGTACCTATCTTTAAACCAATTGAACCTATCTAAATGAATTGAAGATAGGTATCTCGCTCGTCTTCAACACATTACAGGTTAGAACTTGACCAATGAAATCCTTCGTAATGAAACAAATAAACAATCTTCGGATACAATACAAATGAAAAATTATCGAATTCAAATGAAAAATTATACAATATAAATTAAAAATTATACAATACAAATAAAAATTATACAATACAAATAAAAAATTATACAATGCAAATGAAAAATATAGAATACAAATAAAAAAAAATATACAATACAAATGAATTTTTTTACAATACAAATAGAAAATTTAGAATGCAAATAAAAAGTTATACAATTCAGACGGAAAATTTTAGAGTACAAATGCAAAATTACAGAATACAAATAAAAATTATACAATTCAAATATAAAATTATACAATACAAATGATAAATTTTACAATGCAAATGGAAAATTATAGAATACAAATAAGAATTATACAATACAAATGAAAAAAAAATATACAATATAAACAGAGAGGATCAAATATTGCAATGTTTGACATGCCATAAATGAGTGTCGATGACGTTATTATTATTGTTGTTGTTGTTACATGAAATATACAGAACGTATGATTTTTTTTCTCATCGGGATCGATATTGTATTTTAAAGAAAAAGTGAAAATAGCCCACCGGAAGGTCGATAATAGTTATATAAGATTTGTTGTAGTACTTGATTTTGGATGGGACTGTTTTATAAAGAATTAAAGTGAGTATGATTTTTTGTTATTCCAGTAGCAGATCTATGTTTGAAATTAAAGTATTATAAATGAGTAAGTTTATGTCACAGAAACTGTTAGATTTACAAAATGTCTTCACTGAAATTGCATAGTGCCATCTTGATACCCGGCAGTTATCAGCTGATGCCATAACCATACTTTTATTCACTAGGATCTGAAATAAGTTTAACGTATAATACATATTGTGGTTTTTTTTCCTCAAGGAGCCAAAAGGAATGTTAACGTTTTTATTCTTGGGCTGTTGGTATGAGTGACCCGAAATTCCTCTGACTCATACTCCGCCCTTAACCCTTTCATCAGTTCATATGGACATATGTTTTCAAGGAAGGGGCATTGTACACACCATATTGAAAACAAAAACTCTCCAAATACCAATTAGGATAGGTCTTTTTTTATCCATTCTGTCATTTTGTAATAATTTCCCATGCCCATTTGTCATGCTGGGATGCAGAAATATTATTTTACTTCTTTGCTATTCACATATTTGTGTCTTACTTTAATTATACATCATAACATGTTTATCATCATAAACGGATCAGTGGAATCACCCTAGTCAAAATTATACATTATGATGTTGTAAGATGTTTTAGTGATCTATATTTTTACGAAACTTAACACAATGGCTAAGGTCTGTATTGCTATGTTCATTGTCGTTGGGATCATGGACTCCCAGGTGAGATCTGACTCTTCCCAAGAAATTTCCATATAAGAAGGTAGTGTAAGAGTGGGAGGACTCTCGAATTATTGATGATTTTTTTCGAATAATTTTGTTTTATCATCTGACTTTTTGCAATAGATGGAACTCGTAAATATACTTACCTTGTCATTGGTCATTTGCAAAATTATTTTGTTAAAAAACATTCTGATTGTACACACAAGTACTCTGAAGTTGACATTAAAAAGATGCTTGAGTTTCTGATTGACAATATCTATGTGGTTTTTGGAGACCAGGTCTTCCAACAATCTATTGGAATTCCTATGGGTACCAATTGCGCCCTGGTATAAGCAGACCTTTTTTTGTATTCATATGAAGCAGAATTTGTCCAAAATCTTGTATGTGAAAAGAAGAAAACACTTGCTGTGGCGTTCAACTCGACATTTAGATATATAGACGACGTATTGTCAATTAACAATGGCTATTTTCATTCTTATGTCGATACGATATATCCTGGTGAACTTGAGATAAAAGATACCACAGAGTCTGACACATCTGTTTCATATTTGGATATTTTACTTGAAAAAGACGTTAATGGTAATCTAACAACCAAGCTTTATGATAAACGTGATGACTTTAACTTTTCAATCGTCAACTTCCCTTACTTATGCAGCAATATACCTTCATCACCTGCATTAGGGGTTTATATCTCTCAGTTGATTCGATACGCAAGAGCATGCTCTACATATGTACAATTTCTAAAACGAGGTAAATTATTGACAAATAAGTTGATAAAACAAGAATATCAGCTGTCTCATTTAAAGTCATCATTTCGTAAGTTCTATGGTCGATACAATGACCTTGTCAGCAAATACAATAATTATTTATCATTGAGTCAAATGCTGACTGACGTTTTTCATACTAATTGTTAGGCCATTATTTACACACTGAATTGTCGACGGATTTCTCCGTTATTTCCCGATCATGACAAGGAGCACACGGCGGGTGTGACCGGTCAGCAGGGGATGCTCACTCCTCCATGGCACCTGATCCCACCTCTGATGTTTGGAGGTCCGTGTTTGCTCTGCTCCTATTTTGTATTGTATAATGGACTTTTGAGCTTGAATACTGTTCATTATCTCCATATATTTCATCTGCATATCGGTCTCCATGAAACTTCATGAACCCAAAACTTAATGACTACATTTTGGCAAGGGCTAGTTAAATAAAACTCTGCAGTAGAGTTTATAATTTTTAGCTCACCTGAGCTGAAAGCTCAAGTGAGCTTTTCTGATCACATTTTGTCTGTAGTCCGTCTGTCTGTAAACTTTTCACATTTTTGACTTCTTCTCCAGAACCACTGGGCCAATTTCAACCAAACTTGCCACAAAGCATCCTTGGGTGAAGGGGATTCAAGTTTGTTCAAATGAAGGGCCAGGCCCTCTTTCAAGGGGAGATAATAAAGAATTAGTGAAAAATTAATAACATCTTTTAAAAATCTTCTTCTCAAGAACCACAGGGCCAGGAAAGATGAAACTCATGTGGAAGCATCCTCAGGTAGTGTAGATTCAAATTTGTTCAAATCATGATCCCCGGGGTAAGGGCAGGGCCACAATGGAGGATCAAAGTTTTACATAGAAATATATAGGAAAAATCTTCTTCTCAAGAACAGCAAAGCCGTGATGAGTCATATTTATATGGAAGCATCCTCCTGATGACCCCCGGGGATAGGGTGGGGCCACAATTGGGGATCGTTAATTTTACTTGGGAACGTATAGGAAAATATCTTCTTCTCAAGAACTGAAAATCATGTTTAGATTTGGAAGCATCCTCAGATAGTGTAAATTCAATTTTGTTCAAATGAAAAACCCTAGGGGGTAGGGTGGGGCGCAGTGGGGGATCAAAAGTTTTACATAAGAACATATAGAAAAAATATTTCTTCTCAAGAACAGAAAAGCTGTTTAGTCATATTGATATGGAAGCATCCTCAGGTAGTGTAGATTCAAGTTTGTTCAAATGATGACCCCTTCGATAGGGAGATGCCACAATGGGGGATCAAATTTTTACAAAAGAATATATGGGAAATTTTTTTTAAAATCTTCTCAAGTACAACAAAGCCATTTGTTATATTGACATGGAAGCATCATCATGTAGTTTAAAATTCAAGCCCCCCCCCCCCCAGTAATCTTTTCAATACTGAACTGATTTGTGCTTTTGCCTAGCCAATGTGCTCAAGTGAGCGATGTGGCCCATGGGCCTCTTGTTTGTGTATGTACCAAATATGATATATTCACTAGCAATGAATCTCATCATTTTTTTTTCTTGACAAAAAAATAATACAATATGTAATAATAAAATAAAATTAAACACCTACCTGTATTTTTTTTTAGATAAAGAAATTTTATAATGTCGAGTGCATGTAGATATATTGTATACAATTGCACAGATTTTTGAATATGTTTGTCTTTCAGAATATGTAATTTGGAAAGGTGCAACATGCATTGGACAGTGACATTAAGTAACAAAGCAATGATGCATTATTTTAATTTTCCACGATAACATTACACACTTCTGCCGAGTTTTATATCAGGAAAGGTCAGCAACATGATATCTGAAACAGGAAAGCCTTCTGTGAATACAACAGTCCCTCATCCTAACATTATAGAAATGCACATGCTAGATCTGTACAAGTTCTTTCCAACTATGACTTTTTCGTCTTGTGCCATGAGAGTGTTCTACTACCCATTTACAAAGGTCACAATTCTCCAACAGCAACAGAAAGGTATGTATGTTGAAATCCCTTGTCCATATTGTCAGGATGTTGATATTATATACATATATTTACATTTACTGTTTTTTAATTTTAGTAAGCCAACTATGAAATTGATTTGAATGTCATTTTTGTGTATAGTCACTCAAAGAAATATACATGTACATGAGAAATTGTGTTATGGTGAATCAAAATAATGCAATGGAAATGTAAAAAAAATATATATATAACGACATAGGGCAGCAAAAAATTTAAATATGGAGTGTATTTTGGGTTTTTTTTTAGAGCATTAAAATGTATATACATGTATAACATGTATAAGGATTTTTTTTTAGTTTGTGAATGTCATTGGTTTGTAAATAACACAGACTTGCACATGGGCATATTTTTCATGAAGTGCAAGTGCGTATATGTCCAAAAAGTTGATAGAATATAAATGTCTCTCTTTGAATTTAAGAACAGACACATTTCCGCCATATAATGTAACTTTAAGGTGAATGCAATGTTATATGTTATCTACTTTGTAGAGAAAGAGAAACTTTATAAGAATATAACTGATGCCTTTGCCAAGATTTATCGGAGACAGGGAGTTAATGGACTTTTTAGGGGAGTGACATTTCGAGCATTTGGACAGACCCTGTCCTCTCTAACGTATGTTAGTACTTATGAAGTTGTACGAGAACTGACTTCACACCCGTTTATAGCAGGATTTACTGCCTCATGCACAGCCTCTTTCATAAACTGTCCATTTGATGTGGTAAACCAGTATGTGATTCTGTTATCAAAGCAGGCTAGTAGTCAACAAGAAGTCCAAATTCTTAAAAGCCTCCAGCCTTTGCGGTACCCCAAAGAAATTAGACATGGAGGACGTTGGATATTAGAGAGTTCAGTTATTAAAGATGTGGGAAATCGACATGGACTTAAGGGCTTTTGGAGAGCTCTGCCATTGCTGATGATTAACAATGGACTTCATAGTGCCTTGTGGTGGTCCTCCTTTGAATTTGTGTCAGGTAGTCATACTTTCAGCTCTGATGTTCCAGTTATTCAGATTTCTCATCATTCATTACAGTCACAAATAAAGTGTGATTTGCTTGAATCATAGAAAAAATTCCAAATAACTTTTTAATGAAGCAATTTTAATTAAAATCAATACTTTACTGGTGATGATTTAGGTGGTAAGTATGTATATGACCCTTCAATAAAGTAAATTTGACAGTTCTTCTGTTTGGAAGAAACATAACATTTCTCATCAATAACTTTCATGAATACTGCTGAAACAATGTCAAATCAAACAAAGAAAATACACAGATTTATTGTAAGGGTTTCAGCCATTTTCATAAGAACAAGAATCCTCAAGTTTGAATCATGATATTGCCTTATATGTTGTAAAGGAGATGGGTGAACATGACGAGCGATAAGCCTATAGTGTGACAAACATGAAGATGAAAAATTAAATTTCTATTATATCAAAATTTTCCTTAATATTTCGTCTAACATTAAAATATACTTTATGTAAAATCTCTACAATTTGCAAAAATCCCTCAAAGATTGAAATTATTTGCCTGTGAAATATTAGACACACACTAAAGCGGGCAAAAAGAGTAATTTTCGCATACTATAACACTATTTTTCGATATGAGTGGGTCTTCGCTCCACCTTTTTGAAAGTTAATCCTCAAAGTTTGCATAAAAATATACATTTTTTGGTTACCAAAAATATGGAGCAATGACCCACTATACCTTAAAAATATACTTTTATGACATAACATTCGCATCTTTTCGAGAAATACTTGAAGTCCATTAAGTCAAGGGTCATATCACAAACATGATTTAAATGCCACTGTTCGTCAGGACTTGTGTAGTCTAGTGGTTAGCGTGCTAGTCTCGAAAGAAAATGATTCTCAGGATTTTTATTGCTAGGGTTCGAACCCCACGAATACCACATTAATTTTTTTCATAAAAGAATAAATTTTGCCAAGAAAATTTTCCTCAGAAAAGTTTTGTTTATCACAATTACATAAATTTCAATAATGAGAACTTTGCTCTAAATATTAAATTCACAAACTGAACATGATTTTTACATTTCTGAAGCTATAGGCTTTCTGCACGCTATGTTCGCCCATCTCCTTTTGCTTGTATGCTTGAAATAAGGGAGTGGTGTTTTGTAGGTATTCTGGCCAATATGTATCCTGAGAAATCTAGAGTGCTGAGGAATACTGCCAGTGGTGTTATATCAGGATTCGGAGTAGCGATAATAACAAATGGTCTCTCCATCACAACCACAAGAGCACAGGTAAATTAATTTTGTATATTTGAAGAGCAAGAGGCCCATGGCCTAAAGTGCTAACTGAAGATGGAGGTTTATTCTGGACTATAAAGTTTTTAGAGTATCATATACACTTTTCATTTCTTTCAATCTGAAAATTTTTATTGTCAATAAATTTTTAGCAATTTTTGCACATGCTATGCATATGTAAAAAAAAAAAAAAATCATAAAAATAAACAAAAAAAGTAATTTAATATCAAACAAATTTTAATTTATTTTTGAATGTAAAATTCTTTTTTTAATGTTATGTTTTAATCAATCATTTGTGAAAAGAGGTTTTGATCTAACTAAAATGAACTTGAATATTTTTATTCTTAATAATTTTTATCTGAAGGTTTGTTTACGAGATTTAATTCTGCAGTTCTTGTATGTACGAGGGTTGATCGAAAAGTAATGTCACAACTACTATAAAATCTTTAATAATTGAATGGTATCAACAAATATTTGCATACTAATTCTCCTAATTATTTTAATTTTAGTTTTTTACCTTAAAATTTTATTCTAATATATGCAGTACTTTTTAATATTTTTTCAATGAACACAAAGTTAGTTCTCGAGGTCTCGTCTGTCACCGCACGGCAGGAATATTACGAATGTCCTTTAGATGTTACTTTTCAGCACTTATTTTCAGTTCATCCGCATATCTTAAATAAACATCTCACGTGGTTCTTTTTAATAATTTTACTGCAATTTTATCATAAATTGTCTTGTTTCGAGTTATTGTAATAAAATTATTTGAACATGTCCAAATTTTATTTTTAAATTCATTCTTTTTGCATAGATCTAAGTTGCAGATGAACTGAAAATGACTGCCAAAGAGAAACATCATAACGATGTTGATATCATCTTTGCTGTGCGATGATTGATGAGACCCAACATTGTGTTTATTTTAATATATAAAAGTACTGCATATATATCTGAATGAAATTTTAAGGCAGAAGTGAAAAAAAAAAGAGGTATTAGTATATTAAATTTTGTGGATAACATTCGATTATTAATTAAAAAGAATTTATAGCAACTGTTGTGACATATTACTTTTGGATCAACATACCATAAAAACCTGACACTAATTTGGAGACAATTACAATAATAAGTGAGACTTTAATTGTCAAACAATTGGCCATAGCACTTCTCCCACATTGATTATCGGTTCTCTGCAGCCCAATATTATCTTTGGCAGCTTTTGTCTTCTCTGTTTGAACTACATGTATGTGTGCACTGAAGGGACGTGAAATTTCCCATTGCATGCATGCTGACCTAAAATAACAGAGTACATATAAGCAGCTAGGTACCTAAGAAAAACACAACACTTATTTTTACATCAGTTATTAAAAAAGATTATTACATCTTCATTGGTGAAATACTGTGATTTATTTATAGAATAAAAGTGATATTCTCTCACAGTGTGAAGGGATACCAAACTGATATTTTGTCACAGTGTGAAAGGATATCAAAGTAAGTAAAAAATGATTTCTGGCCTGTAATAAGATAGAGATACAACTAAACCATCTTGATAGAGACTAAAACTGCCAATTTCTTCCCAAGTATGTTGCTAAAATCCATAATACAATGTTTTCAATCTCCAAAAAACTGCTTATCTATGGCGACTCAACTGCTCAACTGTGATGTCATAGCCTATGACACTGTGTTAAGAAAAGACAGAGGCAAAGGGAAAATCAAAGAAAATGTAATAAACAGAAAATTCAATGTTTTGTAGTTTGATATGAAATTTATTTCACTTGTGAGACAGAAAAATATCAAAAAATCCTGTCCCACTCGTGAAATAAATTCCATATCCAACCACAAAACAATGAATATCCTCTATTTATTTTCTCCACCTAAGCTTTGAATTCTGATAAATAAAAACTTTTATTTTTTGTTGTTTTTCCTTTATTTTTAACAATGATGTGAATTTGCAAAATTTAGAAGCATAAAAATAAAGTACATGTATACTACTGTGACCCAAATTTGCAAAAAGAAATCAATGTAAAAATTTTCCAGTTTACAGTGGTCAGTTTGGTATTTTCCTATAACTTGTTTACTTTGTTTTACATTCTGTTTTCTTTCCCCTTCTTTGATTCTTCATTTTTTATGTAATAATTCATCATCACAAGCCACAGGTTTTGTGTCCATTCTGTTTCCACAAACCTGTGGCTTTCTACTGTGAAATTTGCTCATTCCCATAAATATTGATGACACTTATTCAACAAATGGAATATTGATCTGATGCTTTTTGCCAGAAGTTTAACGTCCCTCTCAAGAATTTTTCACTCATATGCAGACGCCACCATTTGCCGGTGGAGGGTTGCAAATTTAGACCTATACTAGGCACTAGGGGCCATTGAGCAGTGAGGGATCTTTTTTGTGCAAGCACCTACTGCGACACGGGACCTCTGTTTATATGGTCTCATTCAAAGGACCGGTCTCTACGTCCTGCAGTGTGATTCGAACCCGCAACATAAGGATCAAGTCCTTACATTGCGACTCTAGAGCAAACAATCTAACTACTTACTCCAATGAAAAATGATTGACATACCGGTATCCTATATTTGGATGTAAACATAACCAGCAAATATCAATTTTGATTAAATTTCCTTGTCTTAAAAACAAAATGCTATTCAGCTTATATTTGCACAAAATCCGCATTCAAAACTCTGTCTTTTAATGTTAAGCTTTATAAGTATTTAAGAATATATTTACTTGCCTCTGTTCTTCAGGATCTATTGTTTTTTTATCAATAAATCTGTGAAGCAATATAGCAAATATGATTTCATTTAAGAACTTCAATGTAAACCTACCCGAATTGCTACAGAATGATTTCATTTGTCGAAATAAATCTGACATTACTTTAAAATGAATATTCAGTGATTCATTCATGAGAATGAGCAATTTTTGCAGTAGGCAGCCAAGAGTATTTGGAAATAGAATTGACACAGAATACCTGTGACTTGCAAAGATGCATATAATTTAACAACTCATTTGTAATTAACTGCCATTCAAGATATTTAGTAAATACAATGTAGTTATTTAATTAACAGTTAATCAATTACAATGTATCTATCATTTCTGCAACGTTTTTTCATTTTGTCTAGTTTGATATTGTAATGAAACTTGATGAATTATATATTGAAATCCAGTGTGTCATTTCAAATACATGTATATGGAATGGAATGAGTAAGTTGAGACTTTGATTAAAAACATGTGCAAAAAAATTTCTGAAATCTTTCCTTATTTAGAACAGAAAATGATATTATCTGGGTAGTACATGATATTTGTGACTGTTTCAGGTTAGCCAGACAAGTATACAGGTAGCTGCCATGAATCTCTACAGAGACGAAGGGCTTTTGACATTTCTTACCAAGGGGCTGCGTCCCAGGCTCATACAGAACATTTTATTTTCATTCCTCGCTACACTTGTATATGATTCTGTAAAACAGTTCTCTTTAAAAGAAGAATACAAATCCCAGGTCACATGGTGAAGAACATTCAGCTGTAGGCAATTTCTAGTATAGAATACAGGGAACCTAAACTATTTCTACAGGTACAGTGTAAATGAACATGTATAATTTTTAAAATTATTTCTATTTATCTGTATTTTTACCAAATTAGGAACTGTGATTCTGTGAAATGATTTTATTGCATAAGTATTTTATTTTTAATGTCCCATATTAAGCAATAGTTTGAGGAATGGGTTGTCACAAAAAGGGAATCCAAACAGTGGCTCAGGCATGAGTTTATTGATAGTATACTAGTCATTAAGATAAATATTTGTACTAAACATGCACACTAGTATTTCTTTTATAACTTGTGTCACCTTGCCCAGAGGGTAGTTTTAAAGAAAAGATTAAAATAATGGTTTTAGGTGGTACATTATCTTTAAAAAATTGTTTGGTTGCACCTCTCCCGACCGACTGGCTAAAAATGGCCCAACTCAAACTTTATTTTATCCTTAAGGAAGCAATTATTTTTAGCTCTTCTGAGCCAAAGGCTCAAAGAGCTAATGCTATGGCCATTTGTGCAGTGTGCGTAAACTTTTTAGAATATGGGCCATAACTCAAGAACGCTTTGGCCAATTATTGTCAAATTTGTCACTGGGTATCCTTGGCCCAAGGGCTCTGGTTTATACTAAAACTTGGGTTGTGACCCTTAAACAAGGGGAGATAATTAGGAAAATAGAAACAAAAGTACTGGTTGCTGAAAAATCTTCTCAAGAACCACTGGGCAGATTATCACCAAACTTACACAAAAGGATGAGGATACATGTATGTTGTAGATTAAAATTTGCACGGGGATTTAGCCTGGGGCAAAGGGCGTTGTCTCAAGGTCAGTTCAAAGTTGACCAAAAATTACATTTTATTAAAATGTTGATATTTTGCTTAATATAAGGACTAGGATCATCAAATCTTGTCAGTTGATGCATCTAAGGACCTCATATCACGTTGACTCAAAAGTAGGTCACGGTGACCTACTTCGTAAATTTTGCGGCCATTCTTTTTAAAATGATTTAGAGGCATATTTTGAACAATTTAAGGCCTATGATCATCAAACTTTATCAGTTGATGTATCTTGGGTCTTCAAAGTACGCCAACTAAAAAGTAGGTCACCTTGACCTACTTTTTGAATTTTATGGCTAATATTTTTCAAAACAATTAAGATCATTAATTCGAATACTGAGAAGTTTAGAATCATTAAATCTTGTAAGATGATGCATCTTGGGGCGATAAAACATATTTATTAAAAAGTTGGTCACAGTGACCTACTTTTTGAACTTTGCAGGAATTTGATTTCAAAGCATTTTAGAAGCATAATTTGGACATTTTAAGGCCTATGATCATAAAACTTTGTAAGGGGATGCATCTTGGGTCTTCAAAAAACGTCAACTGAAAAGTAGGTCACTGTGAACTACTTTTCAATTTATATGGCTATAATTAAATATTTTGGGTACTAATTGGCTTAGAATCATCAAACTTTGTCAGTTGATGCATCTTGGGTCATCAAAGTATGTCATCTGAAAAGTAGGTCACTGTGACCTACTTTTGAAATTTTATGGTTATAATTTTAAAAATATTTTAGGTATTAATTGGCTTAGAATCCTCAAACTTAGTTGATGCATCTTGGGTCCTCAGAGAATGACAAGTGATAAGTAGGTCACCATGACCATTACTTAGGTACTAATTGGCTTTGAATCATCTTTGATTCTCAGAGTGTTTCATCTAAAATGTAGGTCATGATGACCTACCTTTGGAATTTCAAGGGTTTATCTAAATATACTGGATACTTAGAGGCTTCAAATAGAAGTGATAGGTTGTACAGTTTATCAGAAGAGCGATTCAAGGCCCTTGGGCCTCTTGTTTATGCATTCCAGAAAAAAGATTTTGAAAATTCCTCATTGATTTTGAAAATTTCTTTGAAAAAAAAAAGTTCTCACCTACCTACTGACTCAATTTTTCCAACCTGAGTCGGGAGAGGGCAAGCAAACATTTTAAAGTTGGCCTACTATATAAGTGAATGGCTAATTAATTCAATACATAATTTCCTATTGATTTCAGATCAAAGATAGGTCATATTATTTTGTTCTGTTCATTCATATGTCTTCCTCTTCATTGATGTCTTTAACACTAGCCATAAATATAAATGCAAGTTCAAAGGTTGAAGAAAAATCTCCACCAAAAAAAAAATTGGCCACAGTTGTGAAAATTGTGTTTCATATAAAAACATCTCGTTTTATTTTATTTTTAAATCAGATTTTTGCTTTATTCTTTTTAAATCAGATATTTGGGTGTTTAATGAATTGTGATTAATCTGCTTTTAGAAAATTTGTTCACAATTTAAAGCATGAACCTTGTTAAGGATAATGTGTCGATACTGTTGGAAGAAGTTTTGAACATAAAAAAAAGGAAGATGTATAATTTGGCATTATTAACATTTCCTTTTATGTCACACTTGTTTGTCAAGACTTTTAACAGAGGAGACTAGATAGGTGCTTATGTTTTATTTGATATGTAAATTGTTTAGAGTTGAATTAATATGGTTGTATTAGGGAAATGCACATATGAGCAAGCTAGTAAATTAAATAATTTTTCATAAAACTTGTTTTAACTGGATTTCTATATGATGGTTTTGCTGTGTACAAATTGTTTAAAAGTATTTATTGATTAATAAGTGTACCTCTTATGATTTTGTTTTAGAAATCAGAAATTTTGAGGTATGGCTAATCTTTATATCAAAGATATTGTGAGTTTTATTTTCTTCATTGTATTTTTAATAAATGATTCCATACTTCCAGAAATAAATACAGAATAGCTTTGAGTTTACAGATACATTTGTTGCATGTTTGATGAAGACTAATTTTATTTGTGTCCTGATTCCACTACATGTTTACATGGCTTATAAAAAGATGGCAGAGATATCATGCAGAAATATAGATTTAATCTCACAGCCAAACGCATCTCTTTCTTTTGGACCAATATTGAATTAATTATTGCTTTGAGATAACATTTTATTGTTTCTATAAAGGAATTGTAATTTTTATGTTCTTATTTTTAGCTTTGATATATTACATTCTACAAACTAAAAAAATAGCACTATATAAAAAAAACTTTTCACTGGTAAAAAGGAAATACTTCCAAGATTAATATTATTTATTTATTTTTAAATTAATATTTACCCATTTATTGTATACATTTAGTAAGCAGTTTATGATATCTGCTTTATTCTTGAGATACTTATATTGTTACATCCTGGACTTATAACTAGCTATTTTACTGAGGTGGAGGATTATTGAAGCAAATCTATTTCATTCTGATGATTTTATTGATGATACAGATATTTTAAGGGCCAGTGATACTTAAGAGCCATTTTATGCCTTGGAACTCCTATGTAGAGCCATGGCATGCACAGTCCCAGAATCTCTCCAAACTCTCTATGATAAAAGTCAATGATATCATAAACATATATCAGGCAAAAATCGGTTGCTATGTGTCATGGTTATCATGGCAATATGCCCTAAAGTTGAAAATGGCACTTTTGAACATGTTCTGTTTCCAAAAGGTGAAGATGCATGAAAAATATTTGAGAAACCAATTTTTACATATGTTACTATGAAAACAAAATACTGAAAAGCAGTAATTTTAATTATTCATTCACTTTGATTAACCAAATGTTCAAAATAAGCTTATTCAGTACATTTATGTCCCCTGCTTAAGGAAGAAGAAAGGGGAGAAAACCTCAAAGAAATGCACATGCAGGAGAAAGAAAAAAAGGTCAACGTTGATCTTTAATCTTATGGCCTTAGTCAATAGAGGCATTTTTTTTTTTAGGTTAAACCAATTCTTGACCTCAAGTTTCATTGCAAAAGCTAAGAATGAATCAAAGTTATCACATGAAAACTATGTATGCAATATATTAATGTCTGATCTTGGACTTAGACCTCAAAATCAATAGGTTTTTTTTCTCAAGTTATATTGACTAATGTTTTAAAATTTCATTGCAAATCCTGAAAGAGAACAAAAGTTACACCAGAAAACCATTTTCTGCAAATTATGAATTTTTCACCTTGACCTTTTGACCTCAAAATTCATAGGGGTCTATACGTCATTGAGAGTTATTATATAAAATTTCATTGCAAAAGCTCAGAGAAAACTCAAGTTATCATTAAATTTCTGACCTTTGATTTGTTAACCTCAAAATCAATGAGGTCTTCTTTAGGCTGCAGGGAATTGTGATATAAAACTTCACTGCAAAAGCTGAAAGGTATTTTGAGAATTCTTTTGGAAACGAAAGTGTTCCACACAGACAGAATGTTTTGTTTTCAAATTCTCCTTTTAAACAAATAGTTGTATTGGCAGGGACTAACTGCAATGTGGTTCTTGACCTTTGACCTTGAAACACTTGGTCAAGGTCGAAGTCACTATAATTTCTTCTTAAAATTCTCAATCTTTTCAACAATTTCTAGTTTCTTTTTCATGAAATTTAGCTATAGAGAGTTAAATTTTAAGAATAAATTAAATTTAAAGAAGGTTTCAAAGACCTGTAATTTCTTCTGTGAAGAATTAGTCTCCTAGTTTAACTTGTAACACATCTTTAAAACTAGAGGTGTAACGATACAGCAATACATCGATTGTATTGATTGCAAGGGCTCACAATACACGTATCATATCGCCATGTATGTATCGTGATACAGTACTCAAGATAATTTTCATTGTTTTATTTGAAACTCCTACATACAACCTAACAAATTTTAATGTTTTAAAATGGCTGAAAAAAAGGTAGCAAAGAAAAAATACATTGTCAAGACAATAAATCCATCTTTTATTAACTTTGGTCAGGGGTATCAAGATATTCTTTTTATATTTTCTATAACTGTGGAGGTTACATGTAGCAAAGAATAAAATATTAAGATAAGGGTTAATTCAATTGTCGACAGCTGTATCATGATACATGTTGTATCGCATATTGTGATATGTATCATATTGTTAGGTAGCTTGCAATACTCAGGCCTATTCAAAACCATGCAAAATTATAAACCAGATCACCTGTACGTTATTATTTGGAAAGATCATTGAAAATATATCATTTTTATTAAATTTATTGAGGATTTAAATGTTACAACGTTAGATAAAGTGCTTTTGCTCAAATATATACATGATATAGAATGTAAAGAAACCTGTTGAATAAATATGAGCTTGACAACTAATGTCACATCACTGTGAAATACATCACATCTAAAATGGCAAAAAATATATAAAACATTAATTATACCATCAATTACAATTACATTTAAAGACAGGTCAATTTATTTATTTATTTTTTTTGGGGGGGGGGGGGGGATTTGCAAGTACCACCATGTAACTTCAATCAGCATATACCATTCTGACCGAAATACAGTCTTTAAACAAAATCACATAAGAAAGAAATGTAAGTCAATTGCAATTCAAAAACATAGTACATAATTGCAATTAGACAGATGTGTCACAACTATTTTAGTATAGTGTAAACCAACTTTTATTTGACAGAGAGAAATATCTGTAAGATTGGCAACCTCTAAGTCTTATCAAGAATATTTCTAGCCACTAGTGGCCAGGAACCATTTATTTAGTTAATGTGTATATTTATAAGAATGATTCCTGTCATAAAATTTAATATTCACTGATTGATTCCAAACTGATAAATTGTGAGTAAATGTTGTAACAAATCTTGGTTAACTGTAAATAAAAAAACATCAATGCCGGGCTATACTTCAATTAAAAATAAAACACAGGCTTACACAGCAAAACATTTTAAGATGGATGAACAGAAAAACAATTGATGAGGCCAACCAGTTACATTCATAAAAAATATTCAAACTGAATGAAATAAATTTTTAGCACAATAAAAACATTAAACAATAAATTAATAACTTTATGATAAATTCCAGGATTCATCTGGTTTAATATAAGTATCATTGTCTGTCTGAATCCGAGTCAATCCAACACCAAAGTAGTTCATGATATAATCAGATCCATCTGAGGGTTTCACCACCTGCAGGGCTATCAACAATATATCAATTAATTGTCCAAGGAAAAAGAAGCCTAAAGTAGAAAATTTCAGAAGCCCAATTGCAGGATATCCAAGATAAAATCTGTCCACTCCAAACATCCCAAGGAAGACAGACAGAAGTAATGCAGTCTCAAAGTTATATCCATTTGTCCATCTGCAAGGCACTGGTCTGCTGAAACCAACTTCTGTCCCATTGAAGGTGTATGGAGTTCCTGAATGCTGTGGAATACATTTTATGCCTTCAGCTATGATGCATTCTGTGGGTGTAGTCTTTGACTCTGGATCACAGTTAACTTCTGCCTGATAAATAGGATATTTGGAAAAATAAAACAAACCCTAACATTTAAATTTTAATCAAAATGTACCTCTATAATAAGGACCCTCTCAACACTGCACACTAATTTCAGGGTACTTCTATGTAGTTAGGCTAATCCACCATTTGATATAAACTAGAATAAGTTGCAATCTGAACTGTTTTGCATAATTTGTAATCAGTTAAAATATTCTAAACATTATATTAGACCATGATCTTTAGCTTAAAAGTGTTCAAAAGCAGCAATGTTTAACAGGTTGGGACCAATTGCCCAAATGGGATATAAAAGCCCGTTTGGGATATAATATCCCAAATGGGATAAAAATTTACAATGCAAAAAATGAAAATTTTATCTTGGCTGTAAATATCATAAATCCGCATCAAGATACTTATAAAGGAATAACTTTTGGTTAACAAGTTTTTCTGTATGACCACTATTTAAGAGATTGATGCCTCGGAAGTTCATAAACTTCTTGGGGATCAATCTAACAACCCGTAGGGTTGCAGAAAAACTTGCTTGCCAAAAGTTATTCCTTTTAAACAGGGACCTATATACTAAAAGTATATAAGTCCCTGTTTTAAAGTATTTTCATGCAGATTTATGATATTTATAGCCAAAATAAAAATTTTCATTTTTTTGCACTGTAAATTTATATCCCATTTCAGGGGCCATTTGGGATATTATATCCCAGACGGGTTATTATATTCCATTTGGGCGATTGTTCCCAACCTGTTTAAACTATCTGTGCTCTAGGTTGTAGCTAAATAAATAAAGTGAAATACTGTGATTTATTTATTGAAAAAAAGTGATATTCTCTCACAGTGTGAAAGGATATCAAAGTGATATTCTCTCACAGTGTGAAAGGATATCAAAGTACTAAGTAAAAAATAATTTCTGGCCTGTCATAAAATAGATAGTAACTACCCATCTTGATAGAGCTAAAACTGCCAATTTCTTCCCAAGTATGTTGCTAAAATCCATGCTATGTAATGTTTTCAATCTCACAACTGCCAAGCTATGATGTCTCAACCGCTCAACTATGACGTCAAGCCAATGACACTGTGTTAAGATAAGACAGAGGCAAAGGGAAAATCAAAGAAAATATAATAAACAGAAAATTCAATGTTTTGTAGATGAATATGGAATTTATTTCACGAGTGGGACAGGATTTTTTTATATTTTCACGAGTGCGAAAATATCAAAAAATCCTGTCTTATGAGTGAAATAAATATGATAAATTCCATATTCATCTACAAGACATTGAATATCCTCTATTTATTACATTTTCAACAGTGCTTCGCACTCGTGAAAATATAAAAAAATCCTGTCCCACTCGTGAAATAAATTCCATATTCATCTACAAAACATTGAATATCCTCTATGTACATGTAGCTAAATGTAGTGATTGTACTGGACCTGCTTTCCAGCACCTACATGTCAAATTGACTGCATCAGAAAGTTATTTAGTAGTATTTCGGGGGGGGGGGTGTAAATATTAAAAGGGTTCTCAATCGATAAATATAGTTGATATTCTATCAGGTATTACCTGAGTTTCCGCATCTATCAGTGGTTCTTTGCAGTAGTACTGTCCCATCAGCAGGTCTTCACATTTCAGGTCGTTGGCTGTTGAATATTCATAGTGAAGTATAAAACACGAAATCACTGTATACATCACGAAATTCCATCTTACGTGAGGAAGAAAATACATTGTAGTTTCCTAATCTAAAATATGGACAGTCACAGTGCTTTTTGTTTACACCGGAAGAAAGTTATATGGTATGCCGTACCCGATATCTAATTTAACGTTCACTGGATTTATGTAAAGCTGTAGTAATGGATTATTTGTTATGCTTTAAACTGTAAATAAATCATAAATATAAAATAATCTAATGAATAACACAATTCCATAAATAAATAAATAGACATTGATTTAAACTTAAAGTCAGATTTAGAGTTATCCTCTTTAGTGTATTTAAGTATGAGAACCAGCTTTGAGGTCAGAAATGTTCGATTGGCTATTCTGGATATACTTCGATTTTATTGGTAGGTCACTTAAGTCAATTTCATTAGTGAGTATAGTCTGGAGTGGCGGGGGTGGGAACCAGACTAAGTGAGTAAATGCTTTGTTCTTTTCAGGGGGACTGACCATCTGATTAGAGAGAGAGAGAGAATCTCCCAATTAAATAATCTCAAAAAGTCAACAAATTTATCTTACAAAATTTAGCAATTGGGACATTTCTAATGTGAGTTCAACATCAAAACAAAATTTGATATGCAAACATTACTATTTTCTTTTGCCAATATTTTTTAAAGTTATTGTTAAACATTTGACCTAAAACATTTGCATCCAGTTTTTCTAACTCTTACAAATTGATACAGTTCTATTGATTTCTTCTTTCTTCGATAATTGAATGTTACTTTATTGAACTACATAAATAAACTGTGATTATTTTATTTGTTTTTTTATTTTTTTGATAAAAATTAATCAATACAATCAGGGAAGTATATACTAGTACAGTGAAATACTGTGATTTATTTATTGAATAAAAGTGATATTCTCTCACAGTGTGAAAGGATATCAAAGCAAGTAAAAAATAATTTCTGGCCTGTCATAAGATAGAGATAGTAACCAACCAACTTGATAGAGCCATAACTGCAAATTTCTTCCCAAATATGTTGCTAAAATCCATGCTATGTAATGTTTTTTACCTGGTAAGCTACATGACGTCTAAATCGCTCAACTATGACGTCAAGCCTATGACACTGTGTTAAGAAAAGACAGAGGCAAAGGGAAAATCAAAAAAAAATGTAATAAACAGAAAATTCAATGTTTTGTAGATGAATATGGAATTTATTTCACTCGTGAGACAGGATTTTTTTTATATTTTCACTCGTGCTTCGCACTCGTGAAAATATTAAAAAAAAATCCTGTCCCACTCATGAAATAAATTCCATATGCATCTACAAAACATTGAATATCCTCTATATATACGATCCTGATACATTATTTTCATGACATAATCACGCTGTTTTTTTTACTGGGAAAGTAGACCCTTCAAGTAATAACGGTTTACCAGTTGTTTACGTTGTGACCTGTACCAAAAAGCACATTGAAAGTGTTCCTTTTGTAGATGGAAGTTTACAATGCAATTAAAAGCAAAAGATTTGCAAATATTAAAAAAAAATACAGTTGAATAATGTTTAATAAAACCCAACTAAAGGTTAAAACTTTGTATAATGAATTGTGGTAAAAATGATATGTATAAAGTACAGGTTCTATCAAAGCATGAATTGGCTACTTTTTTATTGATTGTTTTTCAAAACTTTTTTTTCAATGAAATATATGGAGATGACGAACAGTATTCAAGCTCAAAGGTCCATTAAACAATACAAAATAGGAGCAGAGCAAACACGGACCTCCAAACATCAGAGGTGGGATCAGGTGCCATGGAGGAGTGAGCATCCCCTGCCGACCGGTCACACCCGCCGTGTGCTCCTTGTCATGATCGGGAAATAACGGAAAAATCCGTCGACAATTCAGTGTGTAAATAATGGCCTACCAATTAGTATGAAAAACGTCAGTCAGTATTTGATTCAACGATAAATTGTATTTGCTGACAAGGTCATTGTATCGACCATAGAACTTACGAAATGATTACTTTAAACGAGACAGCTGATATTCTTGTTTCATCAACTTGTTTGTCAATAATTTACCTCGTTTTAGAAATTGTACATACGTAGAGCATGCTCTTGCGTATCGAATCAACTGAGAGATATACACCCTGTATGCAGATGATGAAGGTATATTGCTGCATAAGTAAGGGAAGTTGACAATTGAAAAATTAAAGTCATCATGTTTATCATAAAGCTTGGTTGTTAGATTACCATTAACGTCTTTTTCAAGTAAAATATCCAAATATGAAACAGATGTGTCAGACTCTGTGGTATCTTTTATGTCAAGTTCACCAGGATATATCGTATCGACATAAGAATGGAAATAGCCATTGTTAATTGACAACACGTCGTCGATATATCTAAATGTCGAGTTGAAGGCCACAGCAAGTGTTTTCTTCTTTTCACGTACAATATTTCGGACAAATTCTGCTTCATATGAATACAAAAAAGGTCTGCTAATAACGGGGCGATTGGTACCCATGGGAATTCCAATAGATTGTTGGAAGACCTGGTCTCCAAAAACCACATAGATATTGTCAATCAGAAACTCAAGCATCTTTTGATGTCAACTTTAGAGTACTTTGTGTACAATCAAAATGTTTATTAACAAAATAATTTTGCAAATGACTAATGACAAGGTAAGTAAATTTACGAGTTCCATTTTTATTGAAAAAGCAGCTGTCAATGATATCTAAAAGCCTGGACTTCAATTTATCGTGGGGAATGGTTGTGTATAAAGTTGAAAAGTCGTAAGTTTTTAAGCTGTTGATTTTGGTAAAATCTTGTGATTTCAACTTTTCCAAAAGTTCCTTGGAATTTTTAAGTATCCACATCTGATTTACACCACTTCTCAAATACATTGTTGCACAGTACTCTTGAAGTTTTTCCTTCACTACTGTTAATATCTTAGTGAGGAGTAAAGAAAGTTGCTTAGTTGAACATTTACTGGAACCCGCTATGTATCTTTGTTTGTAATGATTTTTATGAAGTTTCGGAATCCAATATAAATATGGTAATTCAAATTCATTTTGGTTGTTTGGAATATTAAAAATATTCAAATTAATTTTGAAGAATTTCTTCCTTAGAAAGGGAACTATGAGTATAAGTTGGATTAGCACTTGTAGAATTTAATCCAAGTTCCTCTAAAATACATTTACTATAATGAGCCTTACGAACAAAGACAATGTTGTTACCTGCTTTGTCAGCAGGAACCAGTACGTACTGATCATGTAATCTATCTAATTCTTTTTTCACTTCTGGATTATTGAATACAGAAGGATAGATGGTTCTCATATTGCCCCTCAATTTTTTTAATGCGCGATTTTAACATACATCTGATACATTTAATCCATTCTGACAAAGTGTCAAGGTCTTCTTTTTCATATCTGGCCCATCGCCTGGCGTAATCCTCTACAGAATCCATAATATTTATGAAATTCCGACGCCAGTTGAAGGATCGGGGTTCCCTATATTTAGGACCTTTTAAAATTAGTGATCTAAGGTCCTCATTTTTAACTATATTTACGTCACCAGTAATAACGTGTCCAGCAGGACTATAGTTATAGGGTGAAGAAGAACATGAACACGATGGGGGATTTCAAACATTTTGCTGGTAAGTGGGTAAAGAAAAATAAAATTAAAGAGTGTTTTTATGTTAGAAATTATAACCTCCCCCCCCCCCCTCAAATGTTTAAACAATAATTCCAACAATTTCCCAATATTATTTAATTTATTCTTCAATATAAAATATCATTATTTGTTTATATTTCAAATTATATGAACAGTATAGTTAAGTAGTTGGAAAGAGTAATTAGGGTTTCTATACAGAATCCAAATTTTCTAAGTGTTGGGAAATTGCACAATCTAATTAAAATTAGATGTTCCGAATCCGCTACCGCTTCTGAGAAGCGGTAGCGGATTCGGAACATCTAATTTCAATTAGATTGAAATTGCACATCAGTTGTATTTTGTTAGTCAGAGCTTCACATGCGACACATTGGACTTGCATTTTAAAATGAAGAATTGGATATTATATATCAAATGGTGATATTTCTAATATTATAAAAGATTTTACATTTATTTATTTTTTTTTTTTTTTAAAAGTCTCATTTTTCTCATGTTTACATGGAACTTGAAGTTAAAAATAATCCCAAAATTGAAAATTTTGTTCAAATTCTTGAAAATTTGGATAGGTCGGTCTTGAAAAACAACTAGAAAAAAGTGGCCGGAAACTAACGAATTCAATCTAAAATGCTGGAAAGTGCACCATTTGGAGCCATTTTTAAAGAAAATTTCTCGGGGAAGGCCCCCCGATCCCCCACCTATGGGAGGGGGACACCCCCTCCCATGCCCCCTTTTGGCCCTACGGGCCTCACCCCCCACCCCCCATGAACTTCTGGATCCGCCACTGAATTTTCAAGATAAAATTTTCAGTCACATAAGCTTTCCAAATAGATTGCAAGGAATGTTAAAGAAAAGTTTTTTTCTTAAATAAAAAGAAAACAAAGCACTTCTCGCAAAGAAATGCATGGATCTTCTTTCGTGCGAAATCATATTGTGTCTCTAAAAATCAATTAACCTCTTAATGACTTTGTTTTAAATCAAACACACAGAATGCAGTTTTCACAAAGAACTTACCCAAAAGTGACCATGGAACCTAATATCATCGATTCTAGTTGTACGTCACATACTTAAGACCATTTTCGGCATAATAAAATGAATTAGACAAAAACAGTTGTCTCTCTTAAAAATTTTAACTTCCCTAACGGTAATTCAGAAATGTTTTTGCATTAAAAGCATATAAAATTTACTATTTTGATAGCGAAATACTTCATACTTTTGATTAACATCTTAAAACAAACGTAAATTTTATCTTTTGACCAGAATTTCAACTTTAATTGCTGGAAATTAACTTCCGTAACGATTAACTTCCGTAACGATATTTTCCCCCGAAAAGGATTCATGCGAGACCTCAAAAATCGTTCCTTTAGCGTTCTATACTGAACACGAGAAAAACGAAAAATTGGTCAAATTCGACTTTATTTAAAAGATAATAAG